GGAGGAGGAGGAGGAGGAGGAGGAGGAGGAGGGGAGTGGGTCACAGGTCCCTACCCTGTGCAACTGTGACAGCTCTGCCCAGAGCTGAGGACAGGTGGAGGCCCTCGGCTCTGAGGTCACCAAGCGTGGTCAGGGAGGGTCAGCTTCAGGGCTGGGGCCGCGATGTTTGCTGGTGCAGATGTCTTGTTGTTGCTCTTTATCCCTCGCACCTGGCTGGAGGAGCAAATCATGTCACCGCTGCTCACACCGAACCGTGTGCACGTGGTGGAGTCTGTGAAGCACCTTGCTTGTCCCCGGCTTATCGCTGCCTCCACACAACCTTCTGCGAAACCCGAGTGCGTGCGCAGCTGAGTCCTTCTCAGATAAGGCAGACAGCAGAGCTCCCACAGAGCTGGAGCCTCTGCCGCGTGCTCTCTGGATGCCAGAGCTAGGGCTCCTTTGTAGCAGCCCTGGGTGGTCCCCTTGCCCTCTAAACCCTCCAGGTCTGACCACAGCAGATCTTTCTCACCTACCAGCCTGCCAGAAGCTGACGCATGGCCAGGACAAGTGACAGGCAAGTGTGCAAACCTTGCTGGCCGGGGGGGGGGGGTAGCCCCTTCCCTGCACTCTGGGGCCCCCACTTGGTGGCTGATCCAGCAATCAGCAGTGTGCATTTCCTACAAGTTGCTGCACTCAGAGTTCTTCATTTTTAACCCACAGAAATCCCTTTAGTTCTTTAAGAGAAACTCGTCAAGTTTCCTAATTTAGAATAACTTTGTGGGGAGGGGAATGGAAATGAACAGCGGGGATTAAAGATGTACCCAGGCTTACCTGAGCCATTGAAGCAGAAAGAGCAGAGAGACACTGGGCAGAGTTTCACAGGCTTGTGGGGTCAGCAGCTTTTCTACTGGGGGCAGGGGAAAGAAGTTTTCAGCCGAGATTGCTCCTGCTTGTGAGTGTCGCCTCAAAGTTGTTATGTATGTAAGAGCAGTGAGAGGTTTAATAGCAACATGATACCAAGGTGGACGGCCCTTGAGTTTTCTGGAGGTTCCCCAGATCAGGCACCCCTCCACCCCACAGGCATGGTGGTGCTTCTGTCACCTGTATGACCACACATGGTGTGGGGGCAGGAACCCTGTCACCAGTCCTACCTGTGACCACTGGCTGTGCAGACTTTGGCAAGTCACTTAACTGGGGTGGAGAGTGTCACCGTGGTGCCCAGAGATGAAGGAGGACATGTCCACCTCTGTGCACTTTCTGTGCCAAGCAAATATGCCTCCCATGCACCTCAGGGCCAGAGACCTCCAAGCCAAGAACAGACTTCTCTTCCTCTCTGTCTGCACTCTGAACACCCCTCGGGGGTCCTTGAGGAGAGCATTTGTGGCAGGTGGCTACACCTACGTGGTCTCTCTTAGGTCAGAACTCGAAACTCGCAAACGCTGATGGAAAAATCAACAAACTTCAAGAAAAACTAATGACTCGCTCAAGACTCAAGGATTTTCTTTCTTTCTTTCCTTCCTTCCTTCCTTCCTTCCTTCCTTCCTTCCTTCCTTCCTGCCTCCCTCCCTTTCTCTTCTTTCTTTCTTTTTCCTTCCTTCCTTCCTTCCTTCCTTCCTTCCTTCCTTCCTTCCTTCCTTCCTCCCTTCCTTCCTTCTAAATCTTACTACCCAGGCCAGGGAGATGGCTCAGTAGAATAAGCACTTCCCTGGCAAGCACAAGGGCCTAAGTTCAATCCCCAGTTCCACCAATAAATAAATAAATAAATAAATAAATAAATAAACCCTACTGCCTCTTTCAATGCCCAGAGGAAGACAAGGAAGAGAGAAGCCCCTCCAGCAATGCAGCCTGGGAAGAGCCAATGCACTAGGGCTTGCGGCTGGAGTGAGGGCAGGTGGGGGCCCTGAGACAGCCCAATAATCTCATCTTGGAGAACTTAAGGGAAAAAAACCATAAAGTGGTATTAGTTTGAAATCTACCCATGAAAGCAATCTCTTAAGCTAAGAGCTGAGGACATTGTTTGTTTAGCTTAAGAGATTCCTTTAATGGGTGGATTTTAAGCTGCTATTATGTTGTATTTCTCAAACAAAATGCCAAGGAAAGTATAGCACGCCTGTAGGTGCACAGAAGACAGGGTGACCCCACATGATGGCGCTTGGGTCAGCAGCTAAAACACCCAGTCCGGCTGCTCCTGAGGCTTCCTATCACCAAACTAGCTGCTTGAAGCAGGTACTGAGTAGCTCCTGGCCCAGCACTCCATTAAAGAACAGTTTTTACTAAAAATCTGAGGAACAGTAAGGTCAATAGATCAGGTATTACAACCATAGAAAAGAACTTGCTAGCATCCTTGGGAGGATGGGGGGCGGGGACTCAGGCAGGAAGCAGAGGGTCAAGGGCTACCTGTGGGCAAGAGCCTTTGCCACAGCAGAAGGGAAGGCCAGGCAGGGTGAGCACGTTTTTGATTGCCTAGAGTGACTAATTCCAGCAGGCTCTGGGGCCCAGGGACTGGTCCTGCCCTCTTGCACTGGTCTTGGGGAGACAGGGCTGGGGATGGCAGTCAGGCACATAAGAGACCTATAGAGGAGGCAGCCCAGCATGCAAAGGATTCTGGGTTTGAATGTGAAAGACACTCCCAGGTGAGTTCTTTGGTTCATAAAGGACCTGGCTGAGTCTGGAAGATAAAGTCCCTTGAGGGTCTGCAAAGCCCCAGTGGTCAATACATCAGGATACAAAAAATTCAGATCCCAGTTAATATGCACCTATCTTTGACATTCCAGAACCTAAAGCAATTACTTGCACATAGTGAGCACTTGACAAGGGGCAATGATGGAAATAACAGAAGAAGGAAGGGAGGAGGGATGAGGGAAAGCACGGGTTAGATAAGAAGAGGACAGCTGCACTGCACTCAGTCACCCAGAGCACATCAAGGAGCAGGGGTGCGCGGGGCAAGGTGGGAGCTGCTGGGCATCAACCCTGGGACTCCTGCTTGCTGGGCAAGCACTCTCCCACTGAGCCACACCCCCAGCCCAGGTTTACCTCCACCCAGTTTGTCTGTGTGAAGAGATTGTCCCTCAGCTCCTAGATTTATATTCA